AACCATTCTATGATTCTATGATTCTATGGCATATGGAGCGGTTAAGCCTGAACTTGTTACCTGCAATTCCCATGGCAGACCTTAGGGATATTAGCTTTGAGCAGTCATAGGTCAGGGCAGCTGAGCAGAAACCTCTAAAAATGTTGATGTTCAGCTATATGTGATGCTCAGGTGGAAGGATCTAATGGTTCTTCCTGGCATTAAATATATGGATTCACTTATGCTCCTTTATATCCCTGTTTGTCTGTATATGCATGCGAGTCAGTGTAGTCCTGTTTATATCCTCCATATGTTCTGTGCTATTATGTAATCTCCACATTTCAAGGATTGTTAACTTTCTTTTTAGTTGGAAGACTAAGATTTTACTTTATGTGTTTTCTTTCTTTTTCTTTCCCTCCTTAGTACAAATCTAGTTGACTGCAGAACCCAGAACTGGGGCATAAGGGAGTGGATAGATAGAAATATAGTTGATTTACCTCATGTAAGCAGCTGGATCTATGCAGACCAGAACTTCCATCCTGCACTATATTAGAGTCAGTTAATTTCTTCATGGATAAAGGTATTCATCAACATACAACAGATGGCACATATGTGTATATTAATATTTATGACTGGGGAGCAGTGTCCTTGAAAATATCATCATTGAGGAAAATGGGCTGATTTCAGCTCTTTACTCAATCTTGCAACTAGCTGGAATCCTTGAAACACTCTGCTGAATGGCTGGCAGGTCTTTCACCATCTTTTGTGACAAAGTTTATCAAAAGCCATTTAAGACCTAAGATCTGTAAATACTCTGCTAGTGTTATCACTATTTCAGTTTGTCAGAAAACTACATTTTGCCCCTTGGAAGTCTACCAACTTCTACAATTTCTTTTTAAATAAAACACTGGACCAGATTCATTCATATGCTCCAGAAGCTATGCTGCAACAAGAACAGTAAGCATTATATAACTCATTATTTAGATGATATTTATCACTGCTTTGTGTCACCAGAGCAGTATAAAGCAGTGCACCTGCTGTCTTTAGTTATTTTCTTACTTACTTTCTAAAAAAAAAAAAGTTGAAAACCCCACTATAACTCTGAGGTCAGTTGCTAATACCTCTTTAAAGGTTAGCAGAATGTAAATTATTTTACATAACGTGCAGCTGTTTCTATTAATCTGGTAGCAGCTGTTGTATCTATTGCTATTTGAAAATTGTTCCTTGGTCATATATTTTCTAATGGGAAACATTTGTTGGACATGGAAAATTGGTCGAATTGAATCAATTTATGAAAAGTTAAAATACTTTGTCTTTTTAATGTTTCATGGGTTTTATTTTGAACATATTGCTTTGTTTTGTGCTATCATGTTAAATTCAGATGTTTAAATTGAATTATGTTGTAGCTAAAGCGACATTTGAGAAATCGTGTTTCAGCTTGTGCTATTCTAGTGCTTGTTGGGATAAAAATTCTCAAAATATCTTACAAATGCCATTTCTGTTTTTCATCCATCCTGCCTGTTGAGTCCTCTTTCATCTGACTTAACACATCTCAGGGACCCCACTCTATTATCATTGATTGCTGAGAAAGGTCACCAGAGTTTCTGGGGCATTTTGAAGATCACAGAAACTAGTACATAGGTGCAGTAAAAACCTAAGACCGACCGCACTGAGTCAGATCAAAGGCCCATTTAGCACAGAATGCTGTTTTCAGCAGTGGCTAAGAGTGGATGTTTGTAAGAATAGGGTAAGCAAATCTACTACTTCTGCTAAATGCTGTCCAAATCTAGCATTTTGCAGCTCATGGACTTCCTAGTCTCAGTTACTCTCTCCGTGTTTAATAACCATCAACTGATTTTATTTTTTTATTAATTCAAAAACTTGTTAATGAAACTTAATCTTCATCAATTTTGGCACCTGCAAAACTGTGTGGCAAGATGTTCCTCAGCTTAACCATGATGATCCATCTCCTTCTCTGTGGTTTTCAACCATAATGTTTAGTCAATGCTTGCTAGTCGATGAGGCAGTGAAGGATCAGTTCCTAGGGTACATAAGCAATACCTTGAGGTTTTTTTAATCTTTATTTTTTTCTCTATTTTAAGTATCAATGAAAGGTGTAGAATCAGGTAACAAATCTATTATATAAAAAAAGGAAACAACAAAATGAAAGCATTGCATGAAAGTTGCTTTGCACAGAGTGCTTTACACATAAGACCTTGGGCTCTGCACTGACGCAGGAAAGCATCTATTCTTATCCATATCTGCTAGCCAAATCTACCAGCCCCAGTCACCAAATGAGAGATTCCTAATTAGACAGCAGCAGTGCTTCTGCTGGTTAGTAGGGACCTGAACTGATGCATGCTGAAGCTGATTGAAAGATTGCTTTTGAATTCAGTGAACTTGCAGTCGGATCTTCAGTGGTAATTTCTATTTCTTGCAGAAAAATATACGTGTCCTTGCTGTATTTAAACTGAATGATTTTGCAGGCAAGTGTGCTATGCAGTTTCATATGTGGCATTTGTGCACTTGAAGTGACGTGTCATGTGTGAGTTGCAGATCTTTTTTGAAGTACAGCTGTATTACAAAACCTGGCACCACATGACTCTTTTCACATTGCATGGGCCAAAATCTAGCAAAAGAAGAATTTATTGCAAATACAAGGAAAATTGCCAAGATCTTTTTGGACGTTGGGATATTTGGTAGTGTTTTAAAACCCATGTAAAGTCACTTAGTCAAATGCACAAAGCACTAGAGTACATCAGTAAGGACAGGCTTCAGCCTCAGCAGTCAGGGACTTATTTTCCATCTTTCATTTCTGTGAATCTGTTGAAAAGTAATTATTCCCTCTGTACTTTCTGTATAGGGTTGTGGAAAGACCTTCTAGCAGCGTGATGAAAACCAGCTGTGGGCCATCAAAGTAATATATTCAGTAAAGCATCTATGGTCACTGGACTGGGCAGACACCAGCCTATTTTGCATCAGACTCACTGCCCAAAATAATATAGGTGGTTTATTAGATCTTTCTCTCTGACATTCTTATACTAAGTTTCAGCCAATGTGCACCTGCAAAGTGCCCTCTTTAGAAAGGACTTGATCCACAGGAAAGTTCAGGTTACATTTTTTTTCAGGAAGTTGCTCTGTTTCTTCTTTTTTTGTTGTTAAAAAAAAAAAAAAAAAAAAAAAGAGGAACAATCTGAATTGATAAAATCAAAAACTTCCTCAAAGAAAGATGTGTTGAAAACTTCCACCAGTCTTTAGCTTTGGTAAAAACAAGATCAGATATGTAGTTTGACATAGAAGATGGTACCTCTGCAGTGACATGGGCACTCTGCTCTGGGAAAATGCCTTTATATTAGGGAAGGTTTCAGACCACAGATCTCAGAAAAATCATATTTCACTGTAGGTGTCTCTGAAAGGCCCAAGGGGTTATGAAGTTTGAAGATCATGGCTGCTGCTTGCGTTGGTATTTGGAGGAGGAGGATTTCTCTTCCAGGGCTAAGGCAGATATTATTCCAGAAGGGACCTAAATGCAGAACTTAGGGCAGCCACATTTCTTTTTAGGTGTTCCTAGAAGAGGCAGAGTGGTATAACCATGAAATGGCTACATGGAGTGTTTGCTTTCTGGAATTTCCAAAAGAAAGGAGAAATATCTCCCTCTCTCCCTCTAGTTTTTCTTCAAGGAGCTCATCAGAAAAACAGCATTGGGCATACCTACAATGGAGAACTATCCTTGTGGACTCCTTCTGTGAAAGCCAATGGGGTTTCTGTAGTATTAGGGCTACATCTGCACAGCACGATACCTATGATTTGGATTTACTAGATTAGGGATTCAGTCCTATAGTATGTTTTGAAGAAGCTGATACAGTTGGCTGGTGACAATCTTGGGAAAGCAAAAGTAGGACTTTCCCCTACCTCTTCCCCTAGGAATCAGAGATCACAGCAGAGAGGACTCATTCCAGCAGAGGGAGATCTGAGCCTTTATTGTCCCGTTAAAAATGTATCTTTTACTTTTGTTTGTAAATTCCGTGTATATGTTTTGCTTTCAGAAATTTGAAGAAAGTCAAGGAAGAGCCAACAGCAAAACAGCCTTTTATCAGGCTCTGCAAAATTCTCTAGGAGGAGAAGACTCCAATTCATTCATTGAAGATGCAGCTACATGGTATTACTCCCTCGAACACTCAACTGATGATTATTCATCCTTTTCCAGGGCTTTGGAAAATGCCACCCGGTAAGAAATTTATTACAACTGTGAGGCTGGGGTTAAGAAAGGTTTGTTTTGCTTATCTCAAGTGTGCACTTATATTCTGAAAAACTTGAGAAATTCTTATGGAAATGAACAGAAAATGGGGAATATGATTTAATTTACCATGAGATTTCCAATGTCATTGGTAAACAGAAATTGAACTGACTTTTATGCCTTGTGAAAATTTTGAGTTGTCTTTCCTGAAGTGTATATTGGATTCAGATTAATAATTCTTCTTTGTGCGCTCTTTCATGTCATAGATATCCTGGTTGTTTGCACACCTTGCATCAGCTGTTCCTTGAGTCCTCTTATCCCTGCGACAGTAAAAGTAATACACTGGCTTTTATTCACAGTCACCTAATTATACATTTAGATACTTCTTGGTTTTGGAAATTTGAAGAGTGGTCAAATTTGAAAACTTTTATTTCAGCAATAACATTAATTTTTATATCATGAAACCTGCAAATTGTATTTCTTCACAATGCCAGGCTTTCTACAGTGGAGTATCCTGAATAAAATGGTGAAGCATTTGTGAATGTTCAGAATAGTGGCTTCCAAACCCATTCTGTGCATTGCTAATCTCCATTTTACCCATGGCAGAAGAACCCCCTTAAGCTTATTAATGTATTTCCTTGACCCTTGTGTAATCATTTATGACAGTGAACAGTGATTGTATAATGTAGCACAATCTACATTTTGCTCCTTGGTGTATGATTTCCCATAATAAGAGAAAACAGAATCAGGGAGTGGGATACTTCTGTAGGAAGTCTTCTTGGGGAGGTGAAGGGAGAACACACCATATCTGACTCTTGCCTTGTTTGATCCATTGGGACACACTGTAGATTCACAGTGCCTCCCAGCCTCTTCCAGAGGAAATAGTTGTGATGAAGTGTCAGCAGATGCATGAGCAAATTACCTCCAGTACATAGACTCCCATACTTTGCATTGAAACTTTGCAGCCAAGGACCATTGGGAAGTGGAAGATGAGCAGTGGGCCATGTTCACACCACTTGGTATATATGCACAGCTTCAGCCTTTAATTTGGTATGGCATCAGGGTCCAGCAGTTCTGGATAACAGTCAGTTTCAACTAGGACTCCACAGCAGTCATGACACCTATGGTAGGCCATAGAGACTGGTGGATCTCTTTAGCTTGGGTCACATGGTGGTTTGGTGTACAGAGAAGACTGTTAGATTTTGCTTTCTCTCTCATGGGCAGCCAGTTTTCTTTAGCTGGTTAGAGATCCTGAGCTGTGGCAGGATGGGCCCATTTTTCTGAAATGAGATGAACTGAGGGAAAAATCTTACTTCCTTTTCCTTGTCTCTGTGCAAACTCAGGAGCTGAATGTTTAAGTGGAACAGATTTTCAGAAAACAAATTTAAAAACTCTTTCCTCATTCCTGTCTCTGCTTCCAACAAGATTTTTTAATGAAAACTCTATATTTCTAAGGTGCTGTGTTTTATAAGCTGTGGTCTGTAGTCCTCGTGTAGCCATCCAAGCTGTTGCACTTGTTTTGAACAGAGACATAGCTATGAGCTCCTTGTATCTGTGCTCTCAGCATTACAGCTTTCTGTTCCATCGTTAGCCTCTCCATGAGACCTTAAAGACAAGGTTTCTCTTTCAGTAGGTCTTCATCCTCCATCAGAAGTACAGGGCATTGCTCCAGGGGAGTCTCAGGGATCAGGAGATGAACAGGAGCCAAGATTCACTTGGAAACATCTGATCCGAGACAGTGGTGACCAAATCTGTTTGGGGAAGGTTTCTGGGTGGTCCAGGTGTGCTGGTGCATTGAGGTCACGAAGTAAACAAGCCAGAAGGCTGTGGATTGAGCTTTGTGACATTTATCAAGTCTCCCACCATGCCACATTTGCCCTGCCTCGTAGCCTGTCCCAGGGACAGGCCACCCATCACTGTGGCATCTGAGGCCACTCCATGCAGCACACTTGGAAACACTGTGGTTCATTGCCATTAAAGCCAGAACTCATTTTCAGTCTCTTTCCATCACCACCATTACCCATGGGACTATAATTCTTTAGTCAGATCAGTAAGGTTTTAAACCTTAATGAAACACTGAAGGACCTAAATTTTAACTCTTCTTCCTATCCAGAAATAGCTACATATGGAGCTGTTGCAACACAGATGTGTCACATTTGGTCATCCACGTTCAGCCCAGAGCTCAGCATGGTGCAGACGCTGACTTTTGCAAAGCTATGACAGCTAGCAGGAATGGGATACACAAGTAGCTCCTCCAACTCTCAGCCACCCAGCACCCTGCAGCAGCCTCATGGGGTTTTATTTCTTTACAATATGAGGCAAATGGCTAAGGAAAGAAATCAATGGCTTAAAGAGTCACCATGAGCAAGCAGAAGGATGAGTAGTGAAACCAGGACTTCTGGTGGTAATCCTTTGCTTTAAACACTTTGGAAATTACTCCAGTTACAGTGGAAAGGGAGGGGAAGCAGCAGGTACCTGAATGACAGTCACCTACATCTGTATCACACACATGGTGGAGAAAAGGGGGGTTTGGTTCTGGTTCTTTGGTGCTTGTTTGGTTGGTTAGGGTATTTTGATTTGGTTTGGTTTTAACAAAAAACTTAGTACCAGCATAGATGTATAACCCAAGAAAAGTTCTATGTCAGGAAATTATAATTAATTGCCAAAGTTTTAACAGGATTATAAAGTGTGAGAAAACAATGCAAGTACTTGTTATAAACTATATACATTCTGCATATTCTGTAGTTTTAAAATATTTCCACTTTTTAAATTGTTTTCACTGAAATTCTCTGATATTTTCCCCAGGTATAAAATGAGTTTCATTTTCTTTTTCTTTTTTTTTTTTTTTTTTTTTTTTTTTTTTTTTTTTTTTTTTCCTTTTTTTTTTTTTTTTTTAATTTCTGGTAGTCCATGTCATAAGAAACAGCCATTTCATTTTTGTAATTACTATTTTTTTTTCTTAACTTCCCCAGAATAGTTGACTTTTTCCCCCCATAGCACCAACTAAGACTCAGTTTTAAGTGGTGAAATATATCTCAAAGTATTTCTGGAGAGCCAATGCTCTCCATAGACTCCCTATTTTTCAAAGACCATCTGGTCCTCTAAAACCCCATGCTGGTAGGCAAGAGAAGAACAGTAATTTTTGTTTCATATGGGTGTTGTCAACCATAACTGTCAAAGAGTATTGTGGTCAGTCAGCCCATAGCTTGTGGTCTCACAGATGGGCTTAAAATAAACTCTGCTGAACCAAGATAGCTACCCAAACAGTGCCTTTCATAATCATGCCAGTTAAATATAGCAACATGTTTTTATGCTTCTCTGACACTGTTCTTTCTTGCCATCAGTCAGTCTTTTTTTACCTACCAAGTCTGAAGGAGCAGCTACTGTTTCAGATTCACTAGACTGAGAATTGAAACCTCCCACTTCCGCAGCAGATACATTTGTGTGTGCTCTTGTCGTTATGGATATATAAACACCCATAGAGCATGCTGAGTCTTTGGGCATATGTAGAATGAGAAGTGGTGATATGTTTATATAGGATATTGCCTTGAGGAATCATAATGAGATATCTGACTGTAAGGTGTTCTGTTTTCTGCCTGCCCCTCTTGAACTGCTTGTGCTCCTTCCAGCTACTGCTCACTCCTCCTTCTAGTCCCACTTCTTAGGGCAGTAGAAGCTATGAAGTTTTGGATATGTTTGCTTCACTCATACCTGGTGATAAACTGATCTTTTAACTATTTCATTACACTCTTCTTGTTTAGCCTTTCTCTCCCAGACCTACTGCACCAGATATTCCATATTGATGAGCCCTGCCAGAGGCCCTGCAGGATATCTCGAAAAGTGGTCTCTTACCTCTCCTAGCTCTGGAAACTCTACCCCAAAAAATCACACGGATCAAAATGCAGAAAATATATTATTGTTCCTTATCTCAGGAAATATATAAGTCCTTTTACTAGATGCCATCACAACATAGTGGTGCCAGAAGAAGGATCTTTATACTATTAGAAGCATGGGCCCCCATAAACTAGACTAAAATGAGATTGTATTTTTTGGCCAGGACACTACTTACATGTAAGATTTGGTTTATTTAGAACCATTACCATTGTTCAACACTCCATAAGACAGCAATTTTAATGAATTCTAAGGTGTACTAGGCTCACAGAGGGTGAGTGTGGTTTCCCTCAATGCACTTGAAGGCAGAGAGATGAGCTGTTTCGGAAGGTTTAAAGAAGGCTGTCAATATAGAGAGAGGTCTATTAGTTGTGGGATTCTTTTCTTTCCTTTTTTTCTGTTATTTGACTGTGCCTGTTCCTCCTTTTTTATCAGTGACCAGTTTATCACATGTCCCATCATAAACATGGCCAGTCACTGGGCTGCTGCCTCCAGAGGAAATGTCTTCATGTACCATGTACCCGAGAGCTCCTCACAGAGCAGGTAAGGAGATATATTTTACTATGTTTCTTGGATTTAGAAAGGCTGAGAGAGTTGGAGTTGTTCAGCCTGAAGAACAGAAGGCTCCAGGGAGACCTTATTGTGGCCTTTCAATATGTAAAGGGGGCCTGTTAGTGATGGAGACATCACTGTTTTCTTTGCCTTCAGAAACACAACAATTGTCTTTTTCTGCTGATTACCTGGGCACAGGAAAGACTTGGACTTGTTGGAGCAGGTCCAGAGGAGGGCCACAAAAATTATCAGAGGAATGGAACACCTCTCCTATGAAGAAAGGCTGAGGGAGCTGGGGTTGTTCAGCCTAGAGAAGAGAAGGCTCCAGGGAGACCTTATTGCAGCCTTTCAGTACTTAAAGGACACCTATTATAAGAAAGATTGGGACAAACTTTTTAGCAGGGTCTGTAGCAATAGGACAAGGGGTAATGGTTTTAAACTAAAAGAGGGAAGATTTAAACTACATATGAGGAAGAACTTTTTAACAATGAAACACTGGCACAGGTTGCCCAGAGGGTTGGTAGAAGCCCCATCCCTGGAAACTTTCAAGGTCAGAATGGACAGGGCTCTGAGCAACTTGATCTGGTTGAAGATGTCCCTGCTCACTGCAGGGAGGTTGGACTAGATCACCTTGAAAGGTCCCTTCCAACCCAAACCCTTCTATGATTCTATGAGTCTATGATTTATAGTTTGAAAAAACAGAGCTATCTGGGCACCCTGTGCAGTAAATGGATACATGTGGGTATGAACAGTTAGGATTAGTAAAGAAGGGATTGGGCTCTAATAGATTATTTCTCTCTGTTGACTATATAGGAATGCTGTTTCTGAACTGAGGCACTTCAAGATAGATGTCTAAATTATTTCTTTTTTCCAATTTACCTACCTTCACCAGTTCCAGATAGCCTTTTTGATTAATACTCTATATCTGATAAATCTCCCACAGAGAACCAGAATATAGTCTAAGTAATTGGGAGCCCACAGCTCTCAAGGTCAATGGGGAAACATTTTCTAAGGCCACAGCATTAATTTAACACTGCCCCTTTTGAAGTCCACAGTTACACTGACTAGCCTTCAGTGTGGACCGGGTCTGGGATTTATTCCTTCCTGCTCCAGCACCACGACTTGTGATCAGCCAACAGACTGTCTCATGGGAGGAAAAATATTTTTGAACACAAGCATTTGCAGACTCAGGCTCTATGTCGTCCTT